GCCGGTTTATTAAAGTCTAGCAGAAATGCAGACAAGCCATAGATATCATTTTGTCATTTTTTGTATAAATTTTTCTACGAAAAACATCTATTAGCAGGGTCAGCCAGCTATTAACTGTCACCCTCTATTATTTTTCTACTGAATAAAACTAGGGAGCAGTAACTACCCACAGAACTACGATAGAGCTTCTCGACAACATGATCTGTGATTGAATTAATAACACACGGCTGTTAATATGATAAGCTTTAACCCAAATAAACAGAACTTACAAACAGCACTGCGAATTACACACCAGCTTGCTCTATACGCTACATTACGGGCTTTTGTTTACCATTAGCAGTAGTTACTAGCTAGTTTTTAATAACTAACTAATGGCGTCGCCTAAGCATTACGGAATATCTTTGCATTTTGTTAATTTTCATATTTCAATATATCCAACCATCTAACCCACCCATTCACGGTGAAACATCACTCTGATTATGTTGAATCGGCTCGATGAAGAGAGTATCCTGCCAGGATCTAAACAGGTCAAACCAATTGTTCACATGGGCCCTTCTATGGGGGCTTACTTTTGGTAAAGTGGTACTTCTCGTAGTCTAACTCGTCTATAACGATCTGGGTACAATGATACAACTATCATCTATACAAGGTTCAATAATATCTCGTCGAACGTCCAGTAACTGCCAACGAATTTTATTGCTTAAATTGCTTCTAAAAATATTAGATCTGGCAGAAATCAAGGTAGTGTACACGAGTGACTGGTTGAGAGGTAAAGAGGCTTACTTCCTTCCATATTTGTTTTATGGTTCGCGATTCTAAAGGTATCTCTTATTTTCTTAGCACAGCCTACCCTGAGGGGGGATGGGGTGGAATTGATATGACAGACGTAACACAAATGTAGCTGTCTATCCTTGAAAAATCCGTATTTGATTGAATGTTTTCGTATAAAACCGAGAACAATCATGGACAACCTTCTATTCGACCTCGTTCAACTTCTGTAGGCACTGGGACTTTAATTCCGGAGAAACATATTCTGGCAACGAGGTGGCCTATTGTAAAAGATAATTCTGATTGGAAAAATATTTAACGACTATAAAAAGGTCTAAAGCGATTATTGAAAATTTCATCATTTGCTTCACTTAAGATAGAATATCTTTTTGTGAAACTATAATGAAGATAAAAAATATGCCCAAAAAATAGCAAGAATCGAAAGTAATAAGTGACTCGTCGTAAAGTTTGTCCACAGTCAGAAATCTTGAATACATATCACTGTTAAGGACATTTTTAGCTATTTGATCTCAACTCAGGTTGTGGCACTCAGGCTGCAGGATGGAATGCGCAATAAGCCTATTCCGGAGTATGGGATTGTTTACACTGCGATGGGTGTGTCAAAGTTAGGCGAGATAACACTCATAACATTCATTTTTTATCATTCGTCTCTCAAGATCCATTGCTAAATGAGCTGATTGAGACGCCTACAATGCAGCCGTCTTCGATACCGTAGATCTAGAGAGTACGGCAACACAACAAGATCTCTTAAGAGCGTACCAACTCAAAATTTTTACACAAGCTGAGATTAACTAGCCGAAACAACTAGAGATCAAGTATATTTAATATTGATTAAGAACAGACCGTCCAACGTCATGTTTATCGAGATAGAATTTTAAAGTTACATATATTTTACTATAATGATGAGTAGCTGAAACGACGATTCCATCGTTAGTAAATAAGTTAATAGCAAGTTAATGCATAAAGTGTGTTATCATTAACAACTATTACTATCAAAAACCAGCGGGTCCCGAATCTTTTCTGTGTGACCTTTTTTTTTTTTTGTTTTTTTCCGCTGACACGGTTCTTGTTCGCTGCATTTCGCGTTAGTCTCGCCTATACACAAAAAAAAAAAAACCAAACGAATCATAAGTGTCATACTATGTGACTTTTCGTCGAAAAGTCGCCGAGCATGGTGAGATTGAAGCATCACTTGGCAGATAGACACTGACCGTAACCATTAACATGGTGATGCATGTTAATGGACGCGTCTTCCGGGCATATCTTATCATTAGCAATACAAAATACCCCTAAGATGTCAGTTTCTCTACGTTTTCGATGATCGTAAAATTTGTCCCAGTCTAAATTTTCTTTCTGCTTTAAAGGACAGTCCTTGATAATTAATAAGTCGAAAAAAAAAGTACCTACTCTTGTTCAAGTTACCAATCTAAGTCTTTGTTAGCAAATATCTGTGAACAAGATTCTGTTGCAGTGAGCGCACGAAATCAGGCCTCGTCCTGTTATGGTGGCTACGATCACAGAGTTATCGTTGTCTCGATTCGTATATGCACTGTAGGCAGTCTGTGATAGTAATTTGATGCGATTACGCATCCGATAGTGACTCTGTAGCAGAATGGCGCTTAGTCCAGTCAATGCCCAGTCCAACGTCAACAAAATCCATGGTACTATTGATGCAGCCAGAATTATGGTACAGCCAGCTGGAAAAAAAACCTTCTCTGATTCGCCGACCCACTGACCGCCCGGGCTGGGCGTCTGTCTCCCATCCTTCTCCTTGGATCTTCTTAGATTCGGTACTGCTACTTCACAATATAGCAGTAGTCTTGTGCAGCCACAGCTGGCGGTTAACGATTCCGTTACGTTTCACGCAGCGTCGCCAGCATCATACCATCGGCGCCACTCAAGACCCACAAGTGCGATGTTTTTTGCGCTATCGTTGTGAGTTTGCGGCTAACGCATATGCACGTAAACGATTGTGGCGTCTTTTGACGTCGCGCAGACGGTCTCCGTTTCCGGTACCAGCTATTGCGAATGTTGTTCGCGACCATACCGTTAACTTGCTACTCGCAAGCGGCGGCGAACGACTTGCCAATAGACGCAACGGCGTATTGGCCAAGGTAGTGAGTAAACAGTAGGCAAATAAATGTCGATAAGCAGATACCACTCGCTTTCATTGTAGCCTTCCCTCGCTGTCCCCCCGTCCGCGTCCGCATTCGCTATACGTGCAACAGCATACCCTGTAGTGAAGCTCCGCACAGAACTGCTGGCTGGCATCAAGCGTTTTGACTGGATAGCAGCAGCAGCAGCAGAAGGAGTAGCTCTTGGTTGAACGTTTTCGATAGCAAAATTAGCAACGAACGCGTTAGCAACACGCGTTACTATCACGGGCTTCGGCAGCAACGAAGTAACGCGGCGGCAGCAGCAGCAGCAGCTCAGCGTAGACGATTGCCTGCAACAGACTGGGCCGACCTTCGTGGGTCTTTGGTACAGAAACGGCATCAGTTGACGTAGCAGCGAAAACAGCGGCGGTATCGGCAGTATTGGCGACACCGACCCTGTGCTTCAACTCCCGACCGAGGGCGAGAAGGCTCGTGAGGAACGAGCTCCTGCGGCCAACTGGCACGTGTAAGAAGGAGAAAAAGAGTCAACAAAGTTGGTGAGCACCGTGTGGCCGGCGAGCTGTGTGCCCGTCTGCTTGTCTGTCTGTCTGTCTGTTCAGCTAGCGACGGAACGACGACAGGCTAAGTTTCTATTTCAGCTGGTTTCAGTGCGGACCTGTAACTGACTGGCTGGATAGTTCCGTAAATGTCTGTTGGTCGACGTATAGCTGCCTTCTTTGCTTCTGCTGCTGCTGCTGCGGCTGTTACTATCGCTAGTTCCTGACTCTGCTTCTCACAACGATACCAAAAAAAGAAAGACAAGTGTCTAAGCTTTGCCTAGCTCCGCTTCGTTCAAATTTGGCTGCCTCATTCAATCGGTGATTGTGTTACAAGTGCTTGTGCTACGGAGACCGCTGAACGATTTCGAGGTCACTCGCGTGAAGTTCAACAGTGCGATATAATACCTCGTCGAAGTACTGTGTATTGCGGATTCAGTCCGGTGTAATACAACGTTAGCAGGTATCTTGAAGTAGTTTTTTTGTGCTGGTCGTCTCTGGATATCGTTCGATCAACGAGGACATTGCATCGTTAAGCGTAAATCACGAATAAGCGGAAAAAAACATTCGAAGGATGTCATCCACGGCTGTTGCGTCACCTCCAATTCAGGATGAGGTGCAGCTCGTTACTGAGGTAGCCTGTAGTCTAGTTATTAATGTGCAGTAAAATTCGATAGTCTGAATAGCTTACAATGCTAAGTCATGATCGGCATACATTGAACTAAATCAGAACTTGTAATTTGCTTTTACTAATTATTGCAACGTAACCTAATTACTTTAATACAGTACTCTACGCCAGGTTCGGAAGGCAAGAATAGTAAAATCAATGTGCGGCGGGCGCTCTTTTGACTATTGCATACTAAAATATAGATATCTGCGCTAGATCGAGTCATACTGCCACACCATTACCCGTGTCTTACTAGGCGCACATGTTGTTATTTCGCAGGTACGACATTAGGGGGTTAGTGAAGGTCCCAAGACTACCAGAAGACTTCATCCCTTAGCTTTCGTCCCTAAAACAAATGCAGATGACTTAACACTTTAGATAAGCGACAAGGACTTTACACAAGCGCTGTCTGTTTTATAGGTAGGGAGTTGTGCCATACAAACAGTTTGTTTTCGTTTTACTTTTACTGGAAAGCGTGTTTTCCCCTGAACGTTTTCGAGTCGATTTACTTGTCGGTTGCAGGCATGACAGAGAATGCGGTTTATGATTTGAAGGTTCCTTGTGCTAAGGATTCCCTTAGTGTTTGTCTCCAAAGCAAGCTCCAAAGCAAAGGTGACGAAAAATTAGGAATATTCCTGGCACAAAGATAAGCTATGTGGTCGAGCAAGTTATTTGTATATCAAAATAAAACGTATTTATGTAATTCTAACGGATTTTATAAATGTAGCAGTTAGCGCGTGTCTTTAAAAAAAGCCCATACTTTATTGCCGGCTTAGCGTGCGTTTCTCACAGTTCTGATAACTTGTCATTACTCAGTAACAAGATTTTTTTCTAATGGTGTTACTATGTTTCTTCTCAGCTGTAGTCTCATAGGCAAACAGTGAAACCTACTTGCAATTGGAAGGACGAAAAAAACAATGCCGGTCAAGGAAGCCTAGTGTACACCAACCGAAGTAGACGACGGAGCGCTTCCGGAACGTCTCACGGTCACCAGTTCGCTTATTGCCGTTTCTCAATTCATGTTTTGCTGTTATTGAGCATTTTTCGCTTCTTTTCAAAGTCTAACGATAATTTGCTCGCTCGGTCAGTGCATCATTGTATAGTTCGAAAGGACATCGATGCGTCCCTTGCCGACCGATGCGTGGTCCTTCCTCTTTTACTTCACCGATCGAAGTTTTCCTAGATCAGTTCTTCATTGATTTGTAGCTTGATTTCTCCACGTACTTGCGCAGTCCTACGTTACTGAAGTACTGGTTTGTACTCCTTTTTCTACCAAAGCACTTTACGTCGCTATATGTCGCTGCTTCATCGCTGAGAAAGGGGGGTGACGCCACGATGGCTGTGCAGCAATGTGATAATACAGCCGATGTCGTCAACATTGACGTCGATTCCAGCATTGATGCTGCTGTTAGTGGTGCTATCAAAGCCATTGGCAAAGTAGTTCGTGTTCGTTGTCCTTCGACTTTATGACACGGGCACCAGTTCACTCTTCCAGCGCTATTTCTCCTTCGTCGTTCGTTATTAAGCCGTAGCTATTTCTGCTACTGCTCGTTGTTATGGCGACGGTAGCGACGCTGTTGACTAAAAGTCGATTTCGGTCATCGACGTTGCTATAGTACCTGCGAAAACGGAACGAAAAGCGTTGCTTGTTTGCGCCGTTTGGTAACGTCTGGAAATGGTCCTTCACTCATGCCGTTATTAGTGCTAGGCCGTGGACTGGCGTTCCGACCCACTCGTAAAAAGGGCCCAGGGATAGCTGGCCGGTTGCGCAGCGGCGGGCCATCAAACAAGCGCTGTCGGTATAATCATGTGGTGGTTATCGCAACGGTCAGTACAAATGCGGTCGCGGTAGTCGGAATAGTTTCCTACCGAACGAACTAAGACAGGCAGATCTGCGCGAGACAATGTAGCACGATTGAAAACTTTTGCTTAACGTTCTTCTCTTTCGATCTTGCCTATGGCATATTTGGCGGATCAATTAGTACTGCTACAGTAAAATCTTCGTGCTTTCGCGCGTGAGGAAACACAATAACTCACAGAGTAGATTGAAAGACAGTGTTGATAGGCTGATATTTATCGGATTTTTGGTAATTGTCCCAATTAGCTATAAACACATTGTGATCAAATTTACTGAATGCGGTTTTTCGGCTGTTCGCAGAAAACGTACGTGTGTATGCGGGGCAGCAGCTTACCAAAAGAAGTTCAGAGAGAAATGAAAGTTTACAGTATATTACTCTACCGCAGTTCTATATCACGTGTACTAAATCGTCAACTGTCGAATGGTCTAGCTCGCATATGTATGAAGACCCGATTGATTTATACACAGTACACGTGAGGGAGGAAAATCACGTGTACATTGACAAAAATAGCAAGTGGGCCAACACTCATCTGATCGAGTATTGGCCGAACGAAGGGGTGAAGTTTGTGGGTTTTTCGATCCACAGCTAGACAGACCCAAGTCAATGATTCCTCGATTTCTAATTCTGTTATAACCATTTCACTAAACTGTGATGATAATTAGTGTCATTATTATGACTTAATGGCATGAGACGACAATCTAAGCAACCACCTCCGAGAAGGACACCTGAGTGTCCTTGGTTGGAAAAAAAGCTGCATACCCTCACCTTCAACGCCGAATCTGTCATCGTGATTACCTTTGAGTCTTTCGTTTTTGTAGCATTCGCCGTCTACGTATGCATTTTTTGTTGATCACTATCTCTTCAACGTGTCGCCTTATTTCATCTCCCATCATTTTGTCATCAGTAATACCGGCACGCATGTACGCATGCAAATGAACGAGGCCTCATGTACGTGTTTGTTTGTGTGGTAACATGCTACCCTCCTCAGACCAGCTCTTCCCCTTCCCTTCATCTGTGGTTTGTGGCGTCCAGCTTGAACTATCGACCATTGACTCAGTGAGGGTAGCCCGGTCAACTTAAGCACGGCAACTGTCCGGACCCCGCTACAGCAATGCCTGTTGCGTCTTAACCGTTGGCAACTATCGGTTCTGTCGTTGTTAAGGTTCTCCGACTGTCGTTGCTGATCGTTGCGAGCTGTCCTGTAGTGTGCTTCCAGCCTGGCAGCCAACGCGACAGTCAGTCATTAACTCTCACATCTCGCCGGTCAGCATCGGTGGTCAGACAAACGCTGGCTGGTTATAACGGCTGGTGGTTCAAATGTAAAATGCCTCAGCGGCAAGAAACGAATAGCCAGCATTAAAGCCTACTTGAATCCTTAAGCGGTTCGGCTCTACGCTATTCAGCAGTCAGTTGCTGATGTGCTACGATCCCTTGGATTTTTCGTAAGGTCGTAGACAGGGATAGGAGCGAACCGTTGGAAATGAAAATTCAAAATGATCGTCTTGGTGTTAGCAATGCTGCCTGCTGGATCGGCAGCAATGCGTAACGTGACACTATATCGGATCATTGGTGCCAAGTGGCACCAAGACAGCGAGCGGTAGAAGCATTGCCCGTCGACTCGTCAGATCATCTGCCGAAGTGCAGGGGGCACTACAGTTGCTGATACCAATGCATCGGATACGATTGTTATTATCAGTCGACTACTACTGGCGAAAATGCGGACGGTAACGGCTACCGTAACTCTCTGCGGACAGGTTCACTGTGCCTCAGTGATAATTAGCTTGATGGAGGAGGAAAAGGGGGTCTAAAGGTACGGCACTGCACAAAGCGCGATGTTGCTAGTATCATAGTCTGTAATAACGATAGCCTTTAGATCGACGAGTGAATGCTTTCGGGTAGCGGATGAGAAGCCGCTTTCGCTACTGTGTTACGCGATGCATCTTTGCTGCCAACGCGCCGGGAAGGAAGCGTAAGCGAGCAAAATAACAGTAACAACCATTGGGAAATCTCAATGTAATGTATATGGGCTAAGCTATTTCAGTTCGAACCCACCGAAAAATCGAGAACGACATCGGGTGATAGATGCTCCGACGGCGCGAATAGCCAAACGTACAGGTGTTTGCTATAGATGACGCGATAACTACAGCTGGCCCCTGACTCAAAATGAGCCCCGTTTGTGGGTGGTAGCCAGCCTGCCACCGACTGTTTATTTACAGGTAGCGTAACCGCTTGTGCTGCTGCTGCTGCCGCTGTTTCAGGAATCGCGTTGTCCTATATTGTTTCAAAAGGCCTTCCCCGTGATAGGATCAATTACATCACCTGGCCTATATTACAAGCATTAGATATGTACACATTTTTTTCGATTGGATGTCGTCGCATTTAATCACCGTTGCGAATTTTTTATTCGGGAAACAATCTAGGAGTATAAATTTTATTGTATGTATTATGGGATATAAATCAAACATGGGGTAAATGTAAAATAGAGGATGCAATAGGCTATTTGACGGGATCGGATTCGATTCGAATGTATGACACATGATAAAATGCTTGACCCATATCGCTTGTGATTGTCATGTGAAGACGCCGAATTATTTCGAATCATTGGTACATCGATGCGCAGAAGGCGTAAACTAGCCTGATTATACATACATACATACATATATATAGGATTAAGAAGTTATTATTGTTTTAATCAGATTTTTCATTTTCTGTCCAGTCGAACTTGGGCGCAAAGGGAGAAAATGTTTAACTAGAAATGGTTATACGAACAAACCAGCATCTGGGCATCATAAATACCCTATATCATAGCAACACATTGGTTAGTTCTCACCACTGGTCTGGCCAACGGTGGATACATTTGATAATTTCTTGAAAATTAAATTCACGCTCTAAACATCGATGGTTGACAGCTCCTGCTATTAACTTCTATAGTAGTGTTTCTACTGTGACAACAATCGATCGTCAAATCGTTAGCAAATTAACGATTTATGATTGATCGGCACTTACAGAATGAAGATCCTTCGATACTGTGCCGTGACTGTGTGACGACGTCACTATATGTACAGTCTAATGCTGGAGACAAAAACGAATTAACATTATTCGTAATTGTTTAATTCTATTAACTAAGCGCTGATCATGCTTATAGAAAAAAAAATATATCTAATAATAAAGATATCTGATAATGTGGTTGTGCAATGTTGTTGATATGATTAACCTGATATGGAAATCATTTTTTTGTTGTTGGATAATATCACCCAGTTGATCGTCTTTTGTCAGTAAATAGTCAGATGTTACCAGAAAGGTCTTGTGGGATCGTCTCAGAAAAACTCACTGCGCCGGGTACGCATGCACGCTATAGCCTGACGCCTCAAGCTCGTGGGTGTCGTTAAAGCGTTCGATGTTCCAGCCAGATTAACGCGAGTCTAGGAGCGCAATCTTGATCGATCTACTCAGATCTACTGGAAGGAGCTCGGTTTGTTTGTAGTCGAACTACTCCGACAAATTGACGACGATAGCATCTACCAGTCACGTGACCATTCATAATTTGATTGGAATATCATGATTAACTAGGACAAGGGCTGGTTGGACTAGATACAACGAGCTTTTCCGTGTTCAGGGCTCGATAGGCACCTAAAAAAATATGGGCAAGCGAAAAAGAGTGCAATCTAGCGACGTTTCAGAGGCCAAGCATTATAAAATGTCGTTCGGGGGCAAACACAACTGAAGCTAAGCACGGTAGAGGACTGTACTAAACTGCAATTTAGATATAAACAACAAAAGAAACGAGATAAACAACCTGACATGGTACGCATTATCTACCTTGTGAATTCTGGATGAAAGCCAGAGCCACACGTAGTGATTGTGAGATAGCCCTAACGGTGCGGGATGTGGGCGAATTATCCAGAAGATAGTGGGCAAGGCTGCAAAGGAGGAAAATGGAAGCGAAATTAAGAACGATCTTATGCGTTGGATTAAAGGATTGACTGGCGTAGCTTGGCGTGCTAGCGATTATTATTTTAAATATGTATGTTTTAGGTCGACACGAGCGATGGCGTATTTGGTGTGTAGCAAACTTATCAAGTTCGATAGCGTAAAGGCTGCAAAAATAGATAACAAATAAGTTAATACTATTTACATGTGAACGTTTAACGTTTGCTGTAAAGTCCACTAAATATTAGGAACTTGTGCATTAACCGAAGCCGGACGTCGAGACACAGTACATTTGAAGAGAACAACAGTAAATTCGCAGTCGTTTGTTGGTGATGTTGATCGATATTGCTGATAAGCGTCATCAGAGCAGGCCTAGTCAATCTATTTTGCCTCATATGAACACAATTGGCGGTCATCTTTGA